CGAGTTAAGGCCCCCCTTGCCAGGCGGGGCGGCCTCGGTCTGCCTCCCCAGGGCATCCCCTGGGGGCTCGGGTCTGGGCCCTTGGCGTGCCCCTGGCTCCAGGGCCGTCCATGAGCTCCTCAAGCAGACGCCTTAACAGTCTCTGCTTTGCCAGCTTATTTCAAACGTCAACCTGGCTGCCAAGTGGTTTGTTTCAGGGTTTTAAGGTTTTGGCTTGATGATTGCTCGGCCAAGAAACAGGGCTACTTTGTTGCATGGTAGTCACCCTCTGGTACCGCTTTTAGGAAGGGGCAGCTCTCAGAATGGCAAGAATTGCCTGCGCAATTTTATTAGAATAGGTTCTAGTTGGTGTAATACTTGTGTACGTGACAGTGACTAAGTGAAGCAGGCCTGGGCATTTTTTCAGAAATATTACTACTACCCATTGTGTCATAAACTTTTTTGTATTGCAAACGTTTTTTAGATTGTTTTATTTTATTTTTCACATCCACCATAACTTGCAGCAGACACCCTTTTTCTTACCAGAATTTACAATGTAGACCCTTGCTTTCAGGGGCACAGAGTAAGGTATCTCTTCTAGGGGCTTCTCAGTCGGTCCCAGCTTTGTTTACTTGTGGTTCTGCTGGGGGAGGACATGGAAAAGCTGCCTTCTGAGTCTTGGTAGCTCTCTCGTGTGTCACCTGTCCTTGGAGCTCCTCTGAGCTGGAATGGGAACAGGCCTGTGGGTATCCACAGAAAAATAGCAGCCAGGTACGTGGGGAAGAGGGTCCTCGGTGCATAGTCCTACTTCTGCTACCAGTATATGTTAGATAGCCTGCCCTACCCTGTATGCCAAGCACCATTAAATTAAAGCAGTTGTGTTCTGCTGCAGCCTGATGAGATCAGCGAGGGCACCATCTAGGCCTTAAGATTTAAATTGTACCTGAGAACAAATCTAAATTTAAGACAAAGCTTGGCCTATTTTATAGTAAGGATTATGTGATGGGATGGCTGCAGTGGCAGAAGATGACTTGGCTCAGCCGGTCACTTCTCATCCAGTCTTCTGAATGTATTAACTCGCATACATTGCTTAAGCCTCCCTGAATTAATTTGGAATCAAAGATCCTGCCTTTTCCATTTGAAATGCAAGAGAAAGGAGGTGCTTAATTAAATGAAAAGGTGACATTTGCATAGCTAGGAAAAGAGTTTCCTTCTAGGCAAAAAGATGTAATGAGACACCGAAATTTGTTTGGAAAGTCGCTGAGGCCAAAAAAGAGTCCTGGATAGTCCTGTCTGTCCTCTGCAAAGTGTATGTTAAAAGTCCACAGTTTTCCAGAGACACATTAACATGGAGTGAGATGATCTCAGCTGCAGAATTGTACTTGGGATGGCCAGTGCTTACTTGTTTTAAACACCAGCCTGTAAAACATAGTCTGTTCTGTCATGAGTTACGTGTTAAACTTGAAATCCTGACTCAGAGTTTCAGAGTTTCTCATAAACTGAGATGTATTTGAGGGTGGAGGAGGGGAAGAAGTGGAGGAGGAAAGATTACCATGAGCCTCCCGCAGACTTCTTATCCCTCCTGTGATCCACACAGCAGGTAGAAAACTGCTGTTCCTGCCTGACCCCGAGCAGTGAGTCCTGTGCTCCTCCGAACAGGCGTACCTGGGCCAGTGTTGTTACTGTACAGGCTGACTGGGTTGGACTCTTCTCTGTTTATGATTTGGTGATTGAACTTCCAAGTTCAGTGTCCCTGTTGTAGTTACATTGGCATCTGTTTTCCTGATGCTTGTACGTTCTTTTTGTGGTATGAATGATCTGTTCCAGGATTTCAGTTTCTGGTGCTCTAAATGTCAGTTAGATCAATGTGTAGTGAGTATTTCTTTTTATTAAAAATTATTTTTAAGTAAAAGTTGTTTAGGTTTGTTTTTTTAAAAAAAAACCCACAACTCTTTTAAATGTATTTTATATTGTAAAGGTGTTTTCAGCATCTGTTCTCTGCTGTAATAATTCCCAGATTAGGAGCTCCCAAATAGCACTGGGAATCTTCTGGCAGTAGAATTTGTGTAACTGGATCCACACTGAGATTTGGCGTCAAACGCCTAGAAGCAAACCTGGATGTGAGGCCAGCTATAAAAACGTTGAAGCTGCCGATCCGTTTTACTAATGTGCGGAGCATTTGCTATGGTGATTGCAAATCTGAATTGTTGAGGATACTTACTCCAAAAAACCACCATCATGCCATTCACTATGACAGTTCTGCTCACTGTCTTGGATAAAAGACCTTGGAGTTTTTGAAGACAGTGAGCAGGATGGAAGGAATCTGTCTCCTCCCCTGCTCGTTGTCTGATCTGCTTTTACCGGTAGGACCTGTCCCTGGGCCTGCCACGTGTGATGGGAATCTCGCGTGCAGCTCAAGAGCTTTTGGGGTCCACCGTCTGCTCATTTTCCCTCTGGTTTGCGTGACCCCTTCCATGCCCACACTGTCCCACCGCTCCTCTGACTGCTTTGCTCCCAGAACCACCGGCCCCTCTCTGTTACCCCGCGGGGATGCTCCTGCATTGGATCGGCTGGGTGGGGAGAAAGAGGCCTCTCTGACCGCCTGGAACAGAAAGGGGTGAAATGGGGGCACAGCACAAGCAGGTGTCGTAGAGGACAAAACGAACATTGCGGATACTAAAGCAGCATGGTAGAACTGACGTCTTATCTTTTTGATATGAGCAAATTGGCTGTTGTTTACTGAGAAAACAGACTTTTTGAGAAGCAGTTAAGATAAATGGAAATTGGGAACTGTATCTGCTGCCGCACCTTAACTGCTTTTATAGGGAATGCTGCGTTTATAATCTAGAGATGTGACTATCCAGGACCCTTGGTTACCGATAGTGATGATGTGCAGGAGGCTGCAATCAGAGCACCATGGTAAGAGGCTCCTGCTCTTGAGGTTACCATTGGGAACAAATTCTTCTATTCCTCATTTCTTCATTAACTCTTAAGTGAGGAAGGTGGAAGCTGCAGCAGGTGTGTTTTGAAGCGTTATATTTGAGAGACCAGGCTTGTTTCTTTTATGAATTGGTGACTAAAGTGTTGCATGATAAATCTTGCTGGCTGTTCTTGTCTTACTAGAGCCCATGAGAGACAAGGGACTTTGGTTCAGCCGAGGACTAGTATGTGGCTGATGTCCCCTGGCAGAGAGTGGTAGCGGTCAGAGAGACATAAACCAGTGGAAAGGAGGCGTCAGTGAGGAGAGGGATACTTGGGCGGCGCTGGGTGTGCAAGCTGTCCAGGGTGTATTAGGAAACCTGTTCCACTGTGATGGCTTTGGTTTTGGTAAAGGCTCTAATGTGACAGTCTGAGTGGTGTAGTTCAGTGCATTTTGGCGTCTTTTGCTCAGGTGAATTCCTGGGATCATTTCCTTTTCTTTGTTTCAGCCCAAATCAGGTTTGAAGCTCTCAGTTTTCATTCTTGCACTCTTTACTTGTATTTCATCAAGTCTAGAGCAGAAGACAAACTGTAGCTTGCAGTTAAAGTTGTATCATTATTGAAACTAACCTGATTTAAAAATAAATCCCTTACTGCCTTTATTTTAAATTTTAGTGATCTTTAATCCTTTAAATGTGAGTAACTTTAAGTGTACACAACTTAGTGGTAATTTTTATCAAGCTTTGGTATTGTTTTCAGGTATATGTCACAAGGAAAACACGCAGAAGCAAGAGAACTAATGTATTCAGGGGCTTTGCTGTTCTTCAGTCATAACCAGGTAAGTCACTGGTTTTGTGTGTGTGGTTTCGGGGGTGTTATTCCAAGATTTTGAGGGGTGAATGGTGAATTCTCAATGGTAAATGTTTGGGGTAATTGCTTTGTAATCTTCTGTTTCATCTCTTTGTTGAGCCTTTTTCCATAAAGAAGGATTATGCCAAACTGGAACATAAAGCAGAATTGTTTGTGAGCATCCAAACAATAATCATAACCATGTTTGTTTTGCTTTCCTGGAGGCTTCTCTCTTGATGCCATCAAATTACTCTAATTTTTATAAGGGAAGGTTGAGACTTGACACTGTGCCTTCGCTGTAGATGTTGATAGAAGTATTAAATCTGCCTCTGACAATATTCTGGTTGATGTTTTCTTTTATGTACTGATATGTTCTTCACTACCAGTATGTGTCTGTTTTGTAGCAAAACAGTGCTGCTGATCTGTCCATGCTAGTTTTGGAGTCTTTGGAGAAATCGGATGCAAAAGTAGCAGATGACCTTTTAGGTGAGGTGACCTTTGCGCTCGGTTTGATGGTGTTTAGATGTGCTTTCACTTCACAGTGGCTGTTAACAGTCTTGAAACCTGAAATCCTTTTTGTATGCACTCCCACATGGCTAAGGGTTACCTGAGTCATAGAAATGGACTAGGGGAAAACTTTATTAGAGAGTAATGCGTTTCCGATAACTTTGTGGGCATGCTTAGAACAAACATTGCTGTCTTGTGGCATTGTCCTTTCCTCGATGCAGCAGTAATGTATTGTCTGCACAGTCATTGATGTCCCCAGGGCTTTGGTGGATGGTGGTTTCCCACCCTAGCAGTGCGGTAGCGTGCACATTATTTGTGATTCAGCTGTTCACAAGGAAATTTTTCTTGTTTGACTGTGAGATTTGGTAAGCAGGCAATTCAGGGAGACCTTCTTAAGAGCCACCTGGCCAGAGTACTGCTGCAGCATGGGCAAACCACTCTTTTTAACAACCTATGGATGGAGACAGACAGACAGAGGCCATTCTTTGTTCACTTAGATCAGCTTTGACGTTTTGTATCCTGTTAATGACTTCTGGTGGTGCTTTTCTGAACTACAGCCCTCTGTCCCTCACAGCTTCCCTATGAATGGCAAGCAGTCCTGTAGCCTGCAGTCTTTGCTCCTTCTTGGAACTGCATGGTCCTCTGGGATATCCTGTCCCAAACCATGAGACAGGGAAGCTGTCACCAGCTGACTGCAAGGCACAGCTTTTGGCTGTGGAGTCATATGAATATTGCTGGCTGAATAGATGCAAGATTGACTTGGTGTACGAGAAGTGGCTCAAGTTCAAAGACACTCTTTTTTAAGATGGCTTTATGGAGGCCATTAAGGGAGCTTATAGACACAATAGCACTGTAACTTAAATGTTGTATCTTAAAGATGCACTGGAAGCAGCAGTTCATCCTGTTTTTCTATTAATGCTAAATATTTGTGAATCTTATTGCTTCTAGAAAACTTGGCTAAATTGTTTAGTTTAATGGATCCAAATTCTCCCGAAAGAGTGGCTTTCGTATCCAGAGCACTAAAATGGTCTAGCGGGGGATCAGGAAAACTTGGACATCCGAAACTACACCAGTTACTAGCAATTACCCTGTGGAAAGGTAAGAAAAATCAACTGGCTTTTCTGTATTTTGTTTTGAAAATGTTGACAGTATGATATTGTAAGAGATCTACTTTGGAAATAATGTAAGGAAGCTGAGATGGAAATGATTTGAGTTCCTCTATTGCCTGATTTTTGCAATAACTTCAGCTTAATGTCACTAACAAAAAAAACCTGGGGCTGTAACTCTACATTAGTGCAAAACCCAAAACACAACTGCTGTAAAGCTCTGTGTAGAAGGAAGGTTGATCCTTCAGACATTGAGGTAGTTTGACTGATTCATTAGGAGGAAGATTGCTGGGGAGCAAAACTGTTCTGTTGTGGGTTTTTTGTTTTTAAATCCTGGATAAACATGACAAAGATTGAAATACATCGCCTAGCATCCAAAACAGTCTTTGGATCTGTAATTAGGTACTTTTTGAGATACTGACCAGGGGGTTTATTCCAGAATGAATGCTGTTGCCTTTGAGTTGTGTGGGATTTTATCACTTGTGATGGGATGTGAGATAAACCAAAAATGCATTAAATCATTATTTTAATTGTGGATAATAGACTTTAAAAATTGGCTTATATTCAAAACATAACAAAGGTGAGTGAGAACAGTTGAATAAATGCCATCCCTTCTGTGGTTTCTTGTGAATTAATAACTCTGCAAGATGATTGTATGTTTATTTTAAATTTCTCAGTAGCTGCAAAGTGATGATAGTGGTTTCATATAACAATCCTGACCCAATGGTCAACATTCCAGCTCTCATTGCCTTTCTGCATGGCATAGCCAGTCCCATAGCTGTTCTCATGGGACTTATGCTAGCTTGATGGCTGCTGCCAGCGAGAAAGGGAGGGTTTTCCTCAGAGCATTTGAGTTACAAGCTGAGATACGATTAGGGTAAGAAACGGTTGCATTCTGAAAGTAAAAATCCCCATTTTGTAACCATCTGCTCGCTGTTCTTTTGAAGAGCAAAACGTGTACGTTTTCTTAGTCTGTAGTTTTTGAGAGTTTCATCAGAAAAGGCTGAGATTTTTAAAACAAAGCTTCTAAATTCCAAAAATTAGCAGCTGTGCAGTTTTGATTTGTCATTGCAGTGATTTTTCATGATGCTTTGCTTCAAGTTAAGTTCTAACAAATCATTGCCATTTCTTACACCTTTTTTTCCCCTCTATAATTGCTGTTCAATTCAGCATATGGAAGCAATTTTAATTTTGATAGCGAGAGTGGGCTAAGCTAAAAATAGGAAATGCCTTCTTTCTGTGCACTTAGAAAGAAGGACACTGAAGGTGCTGTTTGACTTCTTGGTGTGCATGGTCTAATATGGAACTTCTTGATTCTTCTCCTAAGCACTGATGATAGCACATGAAGTGTCAGCATGCAGTTAGATAAAGTGCTATGACCGCAGCTCAAGCTGTTTGTCCCAGTGGTAGCTGTGTTTTGTGGTGGCGTTGAATAAACTGTATTTAATAGCAGTTGTTCAAATGTATTTAGGATAACATATTTATTATCTCCCTTTATAAATTGTCTGCAACTTACAAAGGAAAAAACCTGCTCTCTTTGCTAGTTGTCTTGTTTATATACCATGTGTATAGCTCTTGTCCTTTTACCAGCTGTAGTGTACAAGCCTAACAAATTTGTTTTCACGTTCAGGTATGATGAACTGATTTCTTAAAAGCCATTTTCTTTTTCCTTTTATAGAGCAAAACTATAGTGAATCTCGGTATCACTTCTTGCACTCCACAGATGGCGAAGGATGTGCAAATATGCTAGTAGAATACTCCTCATCCAGGGGATATCGCAGTGAGGTGGACATGTTTGTAGCACAGGCAGTACTACAGTAGGTGTTAAACTTTTTTTTAACTGTTTTGCTGAGATGATACTGTGTTTGAGGCCAATCTAATTTAATCGTGATAACTGTAGGTTAACCATGCATCCTTTACAAAAGAAACTGTGAAACTGGCCAGAGCTTCTGAAACTCAGTTTGTGTGGTAAGAACAGGAGGAAAAAAAAAAAAAAAAAATCTCAAAACTGGTGTGTTGAGTTGGTCAGACTGGGGAGAGGGGGGGAAAAAAAAAGGTCAAAACCTGAAATCATGTTAATTGCCTGAAGAATTGATGTAATCTGTTTGACCCTGAAAGTACAATTCTTAGCTTTGTTAACACCACTTATGTCTAGTTAAGGCTTACCTTGATGTTCTTACCAATACTGGGCCTAAGTGGGCTCTGTATTTACCTTTAGCATAGTACTTGCTCTCAGTCTCCTTGTCCTAAGAGACAGGTGTCTTGGGTCACCCTGGTCTGTGAACAGCAGTGTCGTCATTCTTGGTTTGACAGAGTTGCTGGTGGCTTTCATTTACTTTAGGCATTTATTTTGTAGGAGGCAGGAATGCAAGCTATTAAGTGCCTTTGCAGAGCTCATGTGCAATTAAGGTTGACAAAGCCAATTTTACTGTGTTTAATCAGCTGATGGCTTGCTTCAGTCAAGGAAAGCAGCTCAATGGAGGAGTCTGAGGAGGAGGTAGAGACAGGACTGTGCAGCAGGGAGTCAGGGAGAGAGTAGGTGTTGGGGGAGAGGGAGGAGGTGAGAGCAAGTCTGTCTCTCTTTTGGCAGCAGGGAGCTGTCATGTCAGATTTGCCCTGCTTTCCATAGCTGGTTGATATAGATTGCAATGATTTTGAGCAGTGGAGAATCCTTTATGGAAATCCAGTATATGCAGGACTCTTAAACAATTTTATGGGGCTTTGTTCTGGGGGATGGGGGGGGGGGGGGTCTTTCTGGGGGGGGGCTGTTTCTGGGGAGAAGTTATGAGGAAGAGATTATTTTTTTCAGTATTTATACAGCACTACTACTGCATCCTTTACTGGCCTGTATCTCAAATACTGTACTAAATCCTCTTACAGAGCAGTTTATACTCTACTGAAAATAATTGCAGTTCCTTGCTCAGCAGTAAGGCAAAAGAGCCCAATGCCCTTGCACGTGTGAGGGTACAGAATTGGAGGCCAGCCTGTGACCAAAAATGAGACTGCTCGTGGCAGCCTTCCCAGTGCTTGCTGACAGCGTTTGTCCCAGATAAAGTCTCTTGTTAGGCCTATGGGACTTGCAGAGATTGCCAGTTAAATTAATTGGACCTGAACAAAGATTTGATCAGTTTGGGAAATCGATCTGTTCACTGGTGACAAATGGCTTGGGAGCTCAAAGTGCAGCTTTATTGTGAGACTTTTAGACATGTGCATCAACCTTATTAGTGGTCCTGATGCCATGTTATTTTGAGGTAGTGCTAAAAGAATGACAGTCGTTGCACACTGGCAGATACATACTGAAAGGAGATGTGTTTGGGAGTGAACGGGGCCGGGAGAGAGGTCTTTAATTCATTTTTTACCTCAGCATAGTAAACTCTGGACCAGAAAACGCAATATCATGTTTAATTTGATTACATGGTGGCCAGTCTTTCCGCATTTTGATTTAACTGATGCCCTGTTTTAGTAACCATCCTGCATACGATCTGCTTAGATCTTGGATAAACTCATTCTATTAATATTTAATGTCAGTTCTCCCTCCCAACCTGCTTGTTCCACAATGTATTCTAGTAATAATTTTTCCCTTCCTCAGTTAATAGCCAAACCGTTGCCAAAGATCTACATCTCTACCAGTTAGTTTTTGCCATCACTTTAAGCCTGAGATGGCTTCTATGCACAAATAAAGTAGAGATTGTTGAGCTTTTGGCTTCCCCTTTTCTTTCTGCAGGTAAAACTACTTCTCTGCCTTTTATTTTTAACTTGTCCTGTTCTGTTTCCTTTTGCAGATTTCTCTGCTTAAAAAATAAGACCAGCGCATCAGTTGTTTTTACAACATACACACAGAAACATCCTTCAATAGAAAAGGGTCCACCCTTTGTTCAACCACTGCTAAACTTCATCTGGTTTCTGTTATTGGCAGTTGATGGGTATGGTCTGATTTTTCTCATGTTGTTCTTGGCTTCCTTTTCAGTCGTTACTGAGATTACATTTTTGGTTGTTTCCTTTCTAGAGGAAAACTAACAGTATTTACAGTATTGTGTGAACAGTATCAACCTTCGCTGAAAAGAGATCCCATGTATAATGAGGTGAGTTACTTGTAGTTGTAAACAGGATTTAACCTACAGAATTAGTTAAATAATAGCTGATTGTCTCCTGTTTTATGACATATAGATGGGAGTCAGTGATCTAGTTTGTGTGGTGTGACTGCTGCCCATAGTATTTCCACCTGTAAATGAAGTAGCTGACATTGTTCTTCATCTTGTGTCATTTCAGTACCTAGATAGAATAGGACAGCTTTTCTTTGGTGTTCCGCCCAAGCAGACATCGTCCTACGGAGGATTACTAGGTAAGGTTTATGCTGACAGTTGTTTCTAGATACCACCAGTCTTTTCAGAGCGGTGGCTTATATAAAATGACTGTGCTGGAAACAGATAATTTGTTCTAACAAATGCATCAGTTTTTTCATAGCCTGTAGAAACAGTCACTACTGTAGAATACAAGATGAATTGATTTAGATTGGATATTAGGAAAAACTTCTTCATGGAAAGAGTAGTCAAGCATTGGAACAGGCTGCCCAGAGAGGTGGTGGAGTCACCATCCCTGGAAGTGTTCAAAAAACGGGCAGATGTGGCACTCTGGGACATGGTTTAGTGGACATGGTGGTGTTGGGTCGACGGTTGGACTGATGATCTTAGAGATCCTTTCCAACCTTAATGATTCCTAGTTTTTACTTTCAATAAAAAATAATCCAGCCACCAAGCCAGGAAACATGACATTATTACTCTACCCTTAATTGGTTTAGTGCTGGACTTGGTAGTGTAGGTTAATGGTTGGACTGGATGATCTTAAAGGTCTTTCCCAACCTAAACGATTCTATGATTGCATGTGAAATTAATTTGGTGAAGCTAGTAGACTTTTCATCTTTGAGAAGGGGAGAAGCATGAAAATGACTCTTACGGTTAATTTTTGACATTATGGTATAACTTCCAAATGTAAAGCAAAATCTTGTTTGTGTTAAAGCTTTATTTCCTCAGACTTGAGCGGCTGATTTTCTTTAAGTCAAATCTGGGACTTTGGTAGAGATTTAACCACTCCTGATATAAAATGAATGTTCCCAAAGTAGAAGTTTTGAAATTAATACTGCCCTTCTACAAGAAACGAATAGAGAAATTCGGCCCTCGTTTCCTGGCTCTTGAATAAACTGTGAGCAAATTGAACTGGATTACTTTTGTAAAATCAAGTGTTTTTCCTTGAGAACTAAGCTTCTCTGTAAACGGAATTGAAGCTTTACCTGCAAATGTCAGTTCACTGATACCCAAAGTCTGATGAAAAACACAAGCATCATAGATGCCATATGTAAATAACAGCTTTTCAGCAATTCAAGCATCTTTAAATTGAGTAAAACAGGGAGAACGCATAAATGCCTCGAACAAGTTCTTTATAGCATGATGGAGACCGTGGCTGGTTTTGACAGTTTCACAGCTGGAGGTGTGTCTTTCCTCATCTGGTTGGGTTTTTTTCTTTCCTCTCATGCTGCAACTATAGTATACAAATGTGCAACTTCAGTGGGGTTTTTCCAGTGTTCTCTGAGAGAAGGAATGGTATCAAAATACAGCTTCTCAGATCAGTAAATGCTTAATGGAAACTAGTGTGGGAATACTAATGTCCTGCTGAGACTCTTCTACTTAAAAAAAACCCAGTTTTTTTCATTATTGAAATCTGCACCCTGGCAGGATGGTAGAATAGTTAAACTTTTTGAGATGAGAATGTAAAATTAGCAATTTTGACCGTCCTGTGTGTTATTCTAGGAAACCTTTTAAACAGTCTGATGGGAACTGGAGAAGATGACGACACAGAAGATGGTCAGGAAGATAGCAGTCCTATCGAGCTCGACTGAATGTTGTTGTCATTGGGTGCCATGTAAATCTGATGATTCGATGACTCCAAAGACAGTTTTGGAATTTGAATCCTGCGGTTGTTTCTTGGCGCCTAAAAGGGCTCCTCCAGTCTTTTAGAAATGGTTGCTGAAATGTTTATAATGTTCGGTCTATATTATTTATGTAAAAAAAGAAAGAAACCAACAAAAAGTAGCCAAACGAACCAATCGGAGCAATTGTTAGCAAGTTTCCAATACAGCGGCTGGTGACTTTGATTAAAATATAGTCTTCTATGGTTTCTGATGCAGTATTCCCTTTTGCACAGTAATTCAATAAAGCATAAATATGGGTCTTGTACTTCACGGCCTACCCAATACCACCTTTGTTACGAGAAAGCCTCCTTGACCTCTGCCACCTCCAAGGAAGATCTTGAAAGGCAGGGTGATCAATTGAATAATTTATTTGCGAGGCTGGTGCCAAAAGTACTGCAAGACGAGCCAAGCAGCATAATTTGAGATGCACATCCAACAGACATTGATACCAAGAACTTGCTTCCACTGCCGTGAGTAACGTACAGGCCATTCATACTGCCTTTCGCTCTCCTTAAGGTCTGGCTCTGGCCGAGCCCACGCGTGTGTTTAGCCGATACTTCCTGAAAAGCACAAGACTGAATTGCTCTTGAGTAAAAGCCAATCAGTGGAACATAGGTAACTGGCTTCCATGTGGATCTCTCTTGCCTAGGTATAAAAATCTGGCTCATGGCTCTACTCCTTTGGAACAGATTCTTTTTCAGTGTAAGTTCACAACCATACAGAAAGGCGACGGCATTACAGTGAATGAAATGATTTGCTGCGAGCAACGTATGTGTTTGAACTGCAGCTGTATGTAAAGAAAAGGGATACTGCAGAACTTTTGGTTCTTTATGATATATTTATTTTTCTTGGGTGACTGATTCATTTAACACTTTCTGTAAAAAAGAATAAATCAATAAATAATGGAGTAACTTCAACCCCAGTGGTAAGCATAGCCATTCTACATCTCCTCCTCTTCAGTGCAGCACAGTGGATGTCAGTGGTGCAGTGGACAGATGAAATGGTGGGAAAACGCTTTATTTTTTCACGATTAAAATAAAAAGGCTTAGATTAATAAACAGCAATCATGCATGGGGGAGGGAGGGATTAATACAAAATTATTGACTGTATGAAAAAGGCCTTGAAAGGAAGACTTTGTGTTAATTGTGAAGTCTCAAATAAACACTTTATACCAGGATGTGCAATATTGCTGCTTTCTAAGCGTTTTATGAGCAGATATCTTATTTTCCTTGCTAATTTTTCCCCCCCCCTTTGCATTTGACTGTGGCTCACCCAGATCTTAGTGCTGCAGCTTCATCCCTGTGCAGTAAAGGCACAGTTTTAGTCAGGTATTGTAATGTCTGGGGCAGGTGTGGATCGCTTTGATTTGCAGCAAGTTCAGGGAAGAACCCCTACGTGGGATGATGCTGTAGGCTTTAATAAATGATTTGGGATGCCGGTAGCGGGGGAGCCACAGCATCTCATTGCTTTTAGCTGCCAGCAAATGCACCCGTCTCAGGGTCCGCAGGTGTCCAGCAGCAATGGCCCCTCCTGTGTCCTGCGCAGATGGCTGAAAGTGAGTTTCCGCGTTCTCTGCCAGGTCTGGGCTGCCACGGCCTCCAGCAACCCCTGATTTGTACCTCGCGTGCGCCCAGCCCGAACCACGGCCCTGCGGGGAGGGCAGCTGTGGGCCTGTGTACCAAATGCACAGCCAAGAATTACAGC